TTTAAAAGAGACATCTAGCTACCAAAATCAACCAATGGACCTTGTTGTTTTTGTTAAGTGCCATTGACTTGGTTCTGATTCATTGTGGTTGTTGTTAGATGCCATTCAATCAGCACTGATTCATCGTGACCCTATGAACAACAGATTGAAACACTGACCAGTCCCTCGCCAACCTCACAGTCATTGCTAAGCCTGAGCCTATTGCTCTCTTCAATGTGCTAATCCATCTTGTTGGGGGTCTTCCTCTTTTTTCAGATCCTCCACTTTACCAAACATGATATCCTTCTACAGGAACTGGTCCCTCCTCTTAATATGTCTGAAGTATGAAGACAAAGTCTGACCATCCTGGCTTCCAAGGAGCTTTCTGGCTGCACTTCTTCCTATACAGATTGGTTTGTTCTTTTGGCAGTCCATGGTACTTTTAATATCCTTCTTTAACATCATAAATCATCATTCTTCTATAGTCTTCCTTATTCACTGTCCAACTTCCACATGCATATGAGGTTACTAAAAATACCACAGCTTGGGACAGGCACATCTTAGCCTTCAAACTGACATCTTTATTCATCAACACTTGGAAGAACACTCCAGCCAATGGAACTAGGATGGGAAAAGTCTTCTGTTCTATGAAACCACAGTCAGTCAATTCCAGTATAGCTGAAAGAGCCTTAGAGAAGTATTAGATACTGTTTACAATTCGAGAGGAATCCTGGTTTGGTGCTGTAAGAGAAGCACTGGACCATAAGGTCAATTTGAAATGCAAAGCTGGCAGTTCAAACTCACCAGCTGCTCCTAGGAAACCCTATACAATGTTGATATGAGTCAGAATTGACTCAATGTCACTTAACAACAAAAAAACACAACTCAAGAGACACATGCATAGGTACAGTTCAACTTAACTATTAACTGAACTCAAGACAGAAGCATTAGTATCAATAAATAAACTCAAAGAAACACTGCCAGTGAGTCTTACAGGAGCCACTGGTAGATAAAAAGTCTTGAAATATAATACTTCAAATGGATCATAAAGCTGGAGTTAGTATACTTAGCTGGTGGTAAACAACAAACAATGACAGGAGAGAACAGTGTCAACTTGATTTTTCATTCACAAATTAATGGCTGAAGGCCTAGCTGTGATTGGTTTATTGACTGCTTAATTCAGTACACATTATGAAGAGCCTACCATGAGTGAGACTTTATGCTGGGCAAAATTTTTATTCACCTCTGAATTTGCGTAAGAAAGATAGAAAATTGCCTAACTGCAGAAGTAGCAGCAGCTGCTATATATCAACAAATAAACAAACTGGACTCTCTTTTCTCTATAATCCCTGCTACATATCTTTATTATAGCACTTGCTATATTACTAAGACATATTTTCTTTAGCTTCATATCTCCCTTACTGGAAGTATTTCTTTAGGGTTGGGATATATTATTGTTAATTTTAGAGTCACTCCCATGATCAACCAGATACTGGATGAATAAATGAGTAAGGGCTTTTCCAAATTCTCAATAGAAAATCCAGCAAAAAATAAGTATTTCACAATAGCAATTTAATCTTTAAATTTCTAGGAAAGAGTATATTCTAGGGAAAAGGTATAATGTAAGTAAATCATTTATATACTCAAGCCTGGAAAATAGCATTTTATCTTTATAAGTTGCAATTTATAAGTCTCCCTCCTCTAGCATGCTATATATCTATCTCTGCACTTATCATATTTTATAGTAGTTATTTGTTTGTGTCTGTCTTTCCTAGTACTCTAAAAGAAGAGTAAATCCCATGTATTATTCATTTCTGTGTACTATGAATCACAGTGCTCAACACACAACTTCCTCAATGGATGTTTATGGGATGAATAAATAGGTGTGACACTTCCTGAGATTGTTCATTAAGAAAGGCAATGTATTGAACAAATCTGCTTCAAAAGACCTCTTTAATATATTAGAAACAAAGATGCCACTTTAGGGACTAAGGTGTGCTTAACCCAAGTAATGATACTTTCAATCACCTCAGATGAATATGAAAGCTGGTCAATGAATAAGTAAGATGGAAGATTTGATGCTTTGGATTATGGTGCTGGTGATGAATATTAAAGACCTTCAACAAGATGGATTGGTACAGTGGGTGTAGCAATCAGTTCAAACATATCAAAGGTGGTAAGGATGAAGCAGGACTGGACAGTGTTTCCTTTTGTTGTATTTAGGGTTTTATGAGTGGGAACCAAGTTGATATCACCTAACAACAATAGCAAAAAGTAAAACAGTTGTCTTTGTACATCTTTGGAAAATAAGAGATGTACATTTGTAAGAATTAAACCATATTCTATGTTGTGCTGACATTTTAATACAAAATTACAGTCATCTGGAGAAAGTCCTGTTACCTTATATTGTAGAAGACATTTTTTTTTTTCTACTAAAAGATTCTTTCTAGCCCAAAATAGCTAACTAGCCTTTTCAATAGTCTGAACTCATTTCTCCCTTAGTGAGAAATATCTTTCCATTTCTAATCTCTGATTTCCTTGCCCTCAACTCAAATAATATTTTTATATTGAATACGCCATGAACTTCCAGAAGAACAAACAAATCTGTTATGGAAGAAGTACAGCCAGAATGCTACTAAGAAGTGAGGATAGTGAGACATCATCTCATGTACTTTGGAAATGCTATCAGGAAGGGTCAATCCTGAAGAAGGACATCCCACTAGGTTAAGTAGAGAGTCAGCATAAAAGATGAAGACACTCAATGAAATGGATTGATGTAGTGGTTGAAATAATGGGCACAAATATAACAATGATTGTGAGGATAGTGTAGGACTGGTAAGTGTTTTGTTCTGGTCTATATAGGGTCATTAAGAGGAACTGACTCAACCTAACAACACAACAATAACAATAACTCAATAAAAACAAACAAACAAAACACAACTTGCACATTGGCTATCCAAAACAGGGGTTAAAAAGGCAAGAAGTGACTGGCTTACAATCTTTCAAGAGGGAACCTAGATTCAGAGGGCATGGAGGAAGGTAGAATCTCCACTGAGTAGTATACAATCTCTCTTGGCGGAACTGATGAAATGAAATGCGGATGGGTCTCTTGTGATACAATAGTGAATAATTGTTATCAGGACTGCTTGTGAGGGTTGGAAATGTAAAGGTAGATGTTTTGTAGCAAGGAGGGGAGTGGGTAACTTTTCAGCGTGGGAGCAGAGGTCCCTGGGACCATCCAGGGAGAAGAGTGGAAAGCAGGACCCTACCCAGAGAAGCAGTGATGCCTGAAATGGAAGCGAGATGATGACATGGAGAGATGGAGCTGTTGGGGACTTCAGACACCTAGAGGGAGAGGGGCTGTGTGCTGATGACTGGGGGACAGGCTTGTAGTGTATACCCTTTGATTGATTGATGATGCATGGAGGGAATTGCAACCATGGCAATGAAACACTATACGATAGGATTAATGTAAAACTAATGTTCTCCCATGTAAACTATCACATAATTCGCAATAAAATATTTTAAAAAAAGTCATTGTCATAAAATAATAAAAAGTATGGGAGAGTTGCCCATAATGACCAAAAAACAAAAACAAAAACAAAAAAACTAGCCATCCATAAGAATACTCTGTTTAAATAAATGATGTAACTATTGCTCCATTTGCTAAAACCAGGCATTTAGAATTCATCCTTGAATCTTTCCTTTTCCTATCCACATTCTCCTCCTCTCTATCCCCAATCCATTATTCACTAACAATATCCAATCAATTCACAGGTCCAGTGGCTCTCTCTAAAATGTATTCTAAACTTGGCAATTTTTATCATTTCTACCTTCACCACTAAAACCTATTGCTATAGCCTTCTAATGGTCTCTTAGCTTCACAGTATAATAAGAGAGAGCCTTTGAAACCTACTAAAATCCATCAATGATTTTTCCTTGAATTTAAAATAAAATTCGAATGCCATAAAATGACCTTCAGTGTCCTACTTGGTTTGGTTTCTATCAAGCTCTTCACTCTTATCTCATACTGTCTGCCCTTCTTTCTCCCACCTTCAAATCTTGAGCCTTCTTATTGTTGGAAGAAACCATGCTGATTTTTCTACTCATGGTCATTATATTTACAATTGTCTCTTGTCATTTTCTTTTCCAGGATATCCACAAGATGACCAGTCATTACTCAATTTTCTATCATTTTTTTTCAGAAGCTTTTTAAAAATGGCATTTCCACCCCAGTCATTTTCTATTTTATTTATCTGCTTTAGAATCTTGATAGAATTTATTACTTCCTCATGTTATTTATTTGCTGGTTAGCTTGTTCAATGTATGTCTTCTCTACTAGAAAGAGATTAGGGTTTGCATCTAACTTATTTACTGTTATACCCATAAGACTTTGAAGGGTAGGCTAATCACTAAATATTTGTGGAATAATTTAAGGCTAACTCAAGGTGGACATATGCCAGTTTTATGATATGCAAAACATTGGGACTGATTTTCCATGGCTCATACACCAGATGGAATCCTAGTGTGGCACTGTGGGTTAATACACTGGACTGCAAAGTTATTTGAACTGCAAGGTCAGTGATTCAAACTCACCAGCTGCTCCTTGGAAACCCTACACAGGGTCACTATGGGGCGGGACCAACTAGATGGCACTTAACAACAACAACATGCACCAGATATATTGAAAGCAGCAACTTATGCCTGATTGTCTACTTGACGTTTATAAGAAAACAAAAACAGAATTATTTCAAACAACTCAAACTAGAATAGCATTAGTGTCTCATGGGAGAAACCAACTTATCCCATTAACTATTGTGGAAAGACAGTTTGCTCCCTAAACAGTCTATTGAAAAAATTATTTCATTCAATATTATTAGATATACAATCATGTTTACAGTACCTTTGGGGATTAGTGAGATCAGGAGCAAGTCATCTGTAGAATTTCCTTGCTGTGACATGTTATGTATTGCTCTAGGACATTGCTTAATTACTATAATAAACATCATTTGTGTACTGACCTTTTTATCCCTCCAAATGTTTGTGCATGACCTAAGAATTTTCCAAAGTCAATATGAAACATGTGGCCTGACTTTGTCAGCATAATATTGTCATTGTGACGATCACAAACTCCCAGGATGAATGTTACCACGCACCAGCCAGCACAGGAATAGAAAAAGTTCCTCAAGGCCTAATCCATTGGGAAACATAAAAATGACAGAAAAAAATAAAAGAGAGAAAATACATTAGAGATAATGGTAAAAAGAAAAAGATAAAAAGCACAATTTCTTTATCTCAGTGGAGAGAAGGGTTCAATTAAGCAGCTGATTCAAAATAACTTAAAGAAAAATATGAAGCAATCTGTTCTTTAACTTAATAGATGGATACTTTCAGTGAAACTGAGGAAAACATCTCTCTCATTCAGATGGAGCTAATGTTTATGATTTACAAGAAAAGATTTCTGATGTGACTTTTTATTTTTGCTTCAAGTGTTGAATGATATTGAATGACTTTTTTCAGCACAAAAAAAGAAATCATGGCCCAATATCACTTATCTTCAAAGAAATCTGTAAATTTTTATGTTTTTTCAACACATGACCATTATATTTGTCATTCTCTCTTCTCATATTTATCTATCAATTTTTGAATACAGAAAAGACTATATTGAGAAACCTTTGATATTTTATGTTTATTATTACAAATAGGCTATCACGTGATAACCACAATGTTTTGGTACAGCACACATCAGTGCATACCCGTATGGGTGGAAACAGATTACCATTAAGTCCATTGTAATCTATGTTTCTTTAATGGACAGAAGTTTCTTGTCAAAAGTTATATGCTTTGTTTTCAAAATGGTTTCCAATCAACTTGGTTTCCATTCTACCATGAGTGATGTTGGGTCAACCTTATGCATTTCATAAATGAAATTGGTGACTTTTTGGTGTAGAAGGATCTATTGCTAGAATATGATTTGCCAAATACTTAGGTTTTATGTCTTTGAAAGTCTTGGAAAAGTCTCTTAGTTTATAGGTCTTGATTTTTTTCACTTGTAAAGGGAAGATAATAAAATATGTACTGGCTACTTCAGATGATGATTGTGAAGAGAAAATACATGTGAAATACTTTTTAAAAAAAATATGCAAAGAGCCACATATATGCAATCCTAACTCAAGAGAACTTTATGTAAAACTCAAAGTTATACTTTGGGGGATGGATGAAAAATGACTTTCAAGGTGATCTTATTAAATCCTTTGCTATTTGGTCTCCAGAAATATCTGTTCTGGTCTACTTTAATCTCACAGAAGTATGAAATATAAGAACTCTCACGTCTCCATTTTAGCCCAGGTTGATCAGTTGCCTGAAATCGAGGGTTATCCATAATAAGGGAAATACCGTATTAAAATTAGGACAATCTAAAGCAAACTTAATGCTAGCCCAGGTATGGCATATTTGTACACATTAGCACAAATGTGCACCTCCTTCTAAGTGAACTCCTCTGCACCAGTTCATGGCTTGGCAAGTGGAATAAACCTTGACTGTTCCCTGACTCTAGACATATTAATCCCCTAGATAGAAGCTGCAGGTAAACTGCAGGTCAGATTCCAAGATAAAGTAAACTAGCAAACAAAAAAACCTCCAAACCAACTGCCATCGAGTTGTTTCTGACTCATAGTGACCCTGTATAGGGTTTTCAAGGCTGTAATTCTTTACAGGAGCAGAAAGTCTCATCCCTTGTGAAGGGTTGGTGGGTTTGAACTTCTGAATTTGCTGTTAGCAGTCCTATGTTTATTCTACAATGCCACCAGCACTACTAGGATAAAATAAAAATTACTACTATCGACTTTATTCTGACTCATAACAACCCTATGTAACAATCTAAGGCAGTAAATCTTTAAGGTAACAGAGAGCTTCCTCTTTCTCTCATGAAGTGCCTGGTGGATTTGCACTGCTGACCTTATTGTTAGCAGTCCAACTTGTAACCCACTACACCACTAGGGTTCCTTAAGATAAAATGGGAGAAAAATGTTTTCAGCCAAATACAATGGTTGTTGTTATGTGCTATGGAGTCGGTTCCGACTCATAGCAACTCTATACAGGGTTTCCGAGGCTGTAAATCTTTACGGGAGCAGAAAGCCTCATCTTTCTCCAACGGAACAGCTGGTAGTTTCGAACTGCTGAGCTTGAGGTTTGCAGCTCGATTCATAACCACTACACTACCAGAGCTGTCTTGTAAATTTCTGAAATATAAAAATGTGAAAACTGTGTTGTACATTCTTTCAATCAAATCAAGAGGAAATGAGCAAGAAAAAGTCATACATGGTAGAAAATTATTATGAAGAAATGAGAGTTTTGTAGAAATTATAGTGTGTGGTGGGGTTTACTTGAGGGATGTAGTTTCAAGAGTCATTGGCTCTGGTGTGAGATTACTGTAAAGGAGGCAGTGGAATGAAAACATCTTTAATTGATAATCTGAAATTCATACAGGAGGAAAACCAAACAGACGCTTTCATGTAGTTAATATCCCATAAACTTAGGGTCATTATAAGTAGGCTGATGACTGAGTAAATTAGAACTCAAGGTATATCTAATTTGCTATACCCAAATCAGAATATCTAATCAGCTAGATCATATTCTTATTAAAGTACATTATTGAACACTAGAGACAGCAAGACAAACCTTTTCATAATCTGCTCTTAAAAGGTTGTGCTGACTGAACCACTTTTTGATTGTATTTTCCTTCAGCGGTCCTATCAGTCCAGAATGACGATGGATTTTTCCTAGAGTTACAGCATCAGGCACCATCTGCACCAATCCTGATCAAAAAAAAAAGAAAGAAATTAGGGGGCCAATTCTTTCTTTAGAATATGAGGGCTACTTGGGAAACGTATCTTGATTTGTGTAACAGCAAAGGAGTTGTCAGCACTGCTTGCATTACCCATTTCGTTTCCAACTCTTTTATTTTGAAGGAGCCCTATCTAGATGGACTTCTTATTAATTCTTCCTAATTCCTGGGGAGCAATGAGGCCCCTGGTTGTATTTGGGCAGCTCTGTTCCGAAGCAATTCTAGTGAATTTTCTTTTTCCCTAAAACTATGATAGAAAGCAAGTCTATCTCATAAAACACTTCGGAGAGTCAGTTGTTGTTAGTGCCTTCAAGTAAGTTAGGACTCATAGAGACCCTGTGTAGTGTTTTTTAGGCTGTAAATGTCTGCAGGAGCAGAAAGCCTAATCTTTCTCCCAAGGAGTAACTGGTGGGCTTTAACCACCAACCTTGTGGTTCACAGTTCAGTGTTTATCCTATTTCCTTATAGAGTCAGTGTTATTGTTTCAGTGCCTTCAAATCAGTTCTGACTCATAGCAACCCTGTATAGGATTTCCAAGGAGTGACTAGTATGTTTGTAC